TTAATAAAGTTTGTTGTAATTCTGTCTTTTTTTAATTTTTATTTTTTAAATCTTATTTGCCTAATACTTTTTGGAAGTAGAATAAGGAGTCTTCTCTTCCCTACCTTCTGTACCTCTTCTGTCACACTAATACAAACACTGATTCTGGATGTAAACCTTGTAATCTTCAGTAATGAGGTCCTGGTACATTCACTAGTATCTTAACACAGTTTTTTCTAAATCACACATGATGTCCTTTAGCCTATGGTCTGCCTACAGCACACAAAATCATTGTGGCCCTCTGCTAGGTGGTATTTTGCTTGTTTGTTTTCTTTTTAACCTTCTAATGTCTTAATATCAGACCCTGGGTATTGGAAGGCTTTATTTATGCTAACATAGGAGATTGTTTCTAATCCTTGATCTTTGTGAATATAATTTTCATAAATGCTCTAGCATAGGTAGAATTAAATGTGTAGTGTATTCTGGGGAATTGGCTTGTTACATTGGAAAGCAGTCTGGGCCCTTGATTAAATATGTTGCTCTTGTGAACTGCCTGGTTTCCTCTGTGTATTCTGCATAACAGAAAGTGATAAGGTTGCTGCACCATCTGCATGTATTCTTTTGGCACATTGCTGTTAGATTTTGATTTGCTGGTTCAGGAAATAGAACTTGCCTTGAAGAGTTACTATAAACACATAAATGCCTTCCTCAGTACTGGGACTTAAATTCAGTACTGAATGCTGCCATGATATGAAGTGAGCATCAGTGGGGGCCAGAATTCCTTGTGCTGTTGACAGCTTTCAGACACAATAAGTGAAAGTCACTTTATCAGCTCTCTCTATTCCTTAGATCTATTTTCAGAGAATCTCTGTAGTAGTTGAATGCAATTTGATAGCCAAACAGTTAGCAGGAACAAACCAGAGTAATTCAGTTTCAATTACTTGCTATTTGATCCTTGGAATAAAACCAGATGACAATAAATTTCTAAATAATTTAACAAATACGGTGCTAAAATAGCAGCCTGTCTCCCTTACCTGGAAATTGATGAAGATGGATTCCAGTTTGTTTGTGACAACACTGTGTTCTTCAGGAATTCTATAGATTTATACCTTCATCTATAAGCTCTGTAGTTAGTTTTTAACAAGTTGATTTTATTCAGCTAGATGGTGTTTGGATAATCTTTACAGCATACAGTGTATTGTAAATAACTAAAACTGTTATTAATCATTAATCTTCCAATACAGCAGGGTGTGAAAGGTTCACAGGTCAATCTGCTTTCCAAGATACTGTAGTAATAGGACAAGGGGCAATGACTTTAAACTGAAAGCAGGTAGATTGAGGTTGGATATCAGGAAGAAGTTCTTCCCAGAGAGGGTGGGGAGGCACTGGGACAGGTTGCTCGGAGAAGCTGTGGATGCCCCATCCCTGGGAGTGTCCAAGGCCAGGCTGGATGAGGCTTGGAGCGACCTGGTCTAGTGGAAGGTGTCCCTGCCCATGGCAGGGGGTTGGAACTAGATGGTCTTTAAGGTCCCTTCCAACCCAAACCAGTCTGTGATTCTATGAATTAACTCCTCAAGCAGGACTGAAACCCCGTTGAGGTTCCAAAGTGATCTGGGACATTTGTTGGGCAGAGCTGGAGAATGTTTCCAGGAAAACTAAACAGCAATTACAGAGTTGCCTCATATTTCAGATTCTGCTTTTGATTGACTTTCAGATTAAGGCTAGCATGGCCTCTTTGCTTCTCTTGTTCCCGTCCACACAATCTAAAAGATTTCTGGGTAAAAACTTGAGTGGCAGTCTCAAAGTGAGAAGTTGCGGTTTGTATCGCAGTCAGCCAATTCAACCATTTTTAACACCTTGGCAAGTGTGTATGACAAGAGTAGGCAGAAAAGAAATCCAGAGGAGACTTTCCCATCTGACTAAACCAAGCTGAAATCCAGAATTTCCAAACTGCAGAAGGTAGAGGGTTTTTTCCTCTTGAAGATGAAATTTCAAAAGCTCTTGAAGGTAGCTTTCAAAGGTTTGGCAGATGCTGCAGTGGTTCAGTACAGTTGTTAGGAATTCGGTGTTTTTCCTGAGCCAGTTCTCCTCCCATCACTGTAAGTATTCAGACACAGGGTGCAGTTTTATATTACAGCCGGACTGATTAACTGTGGGCAATGACCAAAAAGGGAGGTCTTGTTTTCTTCTCCAAAGCTTGTTCCTTCCCCCTCCAGCATGTCAGCAGTATTGCTAGGCTGACCTCACAGTGAACTGATTCAGAGAACTAAGGCTATAGAAAACAGCACTAAAACCAAAGAAAGTAACAGCTTTCGTACAGAGGTGGTGCCTGCTCTCACTGACCGTGGGGTCAGGTGAGTGCCAGTGCTGCTCTCTGGGATGCAGGATGACTGGGAGAGCTCTTAGCTGGTATAGGTATATTGAAAATCTAGACTTCGAGCACACACTTCCCACAATCAGGTTAAAGATTATTTATGGATTATCTATACTGCTGCTGAAAATAATGATCTTGCTGTACTCCCTGTGTTTGGTGCCCTGTTTTCCTGCATCCTCCTCTGTGGCAACACTAGTGTGGTTAGTTGGACCAGGGAGCAGGTCCAGCTGAAAACTAAGCTAACAAAAAAAGAATTTCTGCTTCACCAGTGTTATTGTATGGAACGAGGTAGCATGAACTTGCCCATTGTGGCAGTAGCACAGATTTAAATTTCCGGAAGTTTATTTTGACGTCACTTTATAAATATTCACATAGAAAAAGCTCATTTACCAATTCATTGACTCTGAGGTGATGAATTCCAGGTTCAAAAACTTTCTTGAAGGATAAGACCCTGAAATCATATGTGGCAATCCAGCCACCTCATCACCAGTCTCAGTTTTCTCTGTGTGATTCCTGTCTGGTATCTTGTTCTGAGAGGGACAGTGAGGCATAGAGCACTCTTTGATTTAGGGAAGACATCAGTGTACGCACTGCGTGATGGTTTACTGTATAATCATCATTGTATCATCATCTGTGTTAACAGACGCGACACTGATGTTTTTTTGTTTTCTCAGTGTTTCAGATTTGTTCTGTTTGACATATATACTTAAGTGAAACCAATGGGACATAGGTTATCTAATACACTAGGGATGTGAGCTCTTTGTACATGGGCATGTTTAATTACATTGAGCTACGTATTTGAGATTAAGTTCATTTATGCTCTCTGATGATCCTTGCTGCACTGAGGAAACGGCATTCTAGCCTCTCCAAACAGTTTTCACGTGTTCCAATAGGCTCAGGATTTTCCTTTGAAGATTTTCTGTCATTCAGAAATGAGATTCAATGCAATGCATTCTAGCCTGGCTTTTCTCCCTACTGTTGTTTTCTTTTGGGATTACTGTTTGGTCATTGTTCGGTTCAGGCCATACTCAATTGCCCTTGTAATTAGTGTGGAGCTAATAACTATGTACTGACTAATCATGTCTGCTCTGATTTTCTGGGTTTGTTCCGACTCTTTCAGCTCCCACTGACTTTTTTTGTGAGAGTTTTTCACATAGCACCTCTGAAGTCAGTGTATTTCAGTCCTTAACAAGCTGCTAAGGTGTTAAATCATAAAGCGATAGGATTATTCTGACTAAAATTTACGTCTCTATATTGAGATGAGTCACTCTAGGGCCTCTTTACGGACAGTGAAGCTCCATTGTGATGTTCCTGGAGTTAGCAGGCAGTGTGTTTCACCCTGAAGTGCATGCCTGTGTTTGGGGCCGTAAGACAAGTGGGTGTAGAGCACCTGTTGAGTTTTGATTAGATTTCTAATCTCTCTGGTGATTTGGTGTAAGTGTTCGTAGACAACTGTGTGTAAAATTTGGGTTTTAAATCTGTGTTGCTCTGTGGAAATCAAAGTTGCCAGACGGAAGAAGAGTTTGAGGAACTCTATCCCAGGCTCAGATCAAGAAGAGCAGATTTAAAATGTAAATGCTTGGATGCACGTGACAAAATCTACATCCACGCACTGATGTTTAAAAATTACAACTATACAGGAATATTAATACTACCACTATAGCATGCATGTAAGATCAGCATTTTCACTAGTGATTGAAGACTGGCGCTAATTGTGAAGTTTCTTTCTTCCACCTCTGTAAACCAGGCCGTGCTCTTTATTTCCTGTGCGGTTCTTGGAGGCAGGCAGAGTCTCCTGTCTTAACTTTGCTCACTCTGTTTGACAAGTTCAGTCTCTTGTTTGGCTAGATATTTCATCTTGTCAGAAAAGAAAAAACCAGTTTCCCTTCCCTAATCCAGATTCTGGTTTATTTCACGGTTGTGTTTACAACCAGCTTGTGTAAAGCTGCACAGACCCATTTGTATGGTTCTTGGCTGTCACTAGTCAAGAAGATGAAATTAATAGCCACTCCCTTTTCAGTCCCTAAAGCCTTTTCTTTCCAACAACCTTTTAAGGTAGGTACCACTGGGTAGCAAATCCCTAATGCTCTGATAAGTTTAAAATAAATTGTAAATTACTTGTCCAAGCTTGATTGTCTTTGGCATAAATAAAAGATCAATGAAATCTCCTACTTACTATGTGTATGAGGAATATAAAATGGAAAATCAGTGCACAGTAATTGTAGCATTAAGTTTAAAACTTTTAACTATTAAAAGGTTCTTCTCAATTCATTCCCTTCAATATCCACATCGCCATTATTCATAGAAGTGTCATTTCCAGTATACATCTCTGAATTTGAAGTGAAGTTTGAAGAACTCTGCATGGGTTGCAACTTAGGATAGAAGAGAAGGTTATGGAGTACTAAGCAGGAAGTAGATTTATCTGTTGGGCTCTGACACCCCAAAGGTGCTGGTACACACCTCAGTTTGAACATTGAGCACATGATCAATTTTAAGCACTTGCATTTCTCATTACTTAAAATTGCTGAAGGTTAAGTATAGGCCTAAATATTTGCAGGATTTCAGGTGAATGTGTAAGGTCTACTTTATTTCACAGCAGATGCTGGGTTTGACATTCTGTTACTGCCTTTTTTCCCCTTTTTCCTAGGTGTTTACCTCCCATGGACCCACTGTGATCATGCCAACCTGGTTTTGTTCTCGAGAATGGTTTTTTCATGTGGGAAAATTTGATGAGGGTGGAAAGGTGAGTGCTACAGATGATATGTAGTCCAGGAACCATATCTTTGTCTAACAGCCCCTGAAAGCTCTGCATCTTTTATTAATAAACACTAGGCAAAGGGGTATGGATAAAATTGACATCTAAAAAAATCTGGGTTGTACTATATAGCTGTGTTTTGGGTTTTTTTGGTTTTGGGTTTATCATCTTAAAAAAACCATTTGTTAACCAAGTACAGTTGTTTTGGGGTAACTCTGGCAATTGAAGGACATAACTGAGATGGAGTTTTAGGTAAATCTAACAGATTTGTTAGATATGTCAGCATACCTGGAAGAGTTAAAGAAGGGTTCAGGCATTGAAGCTCCTCTTTAATCCCTGAAATACATGCAGCAAATCTGAAAGTGAAACAAAAGTCAGCTCATAGTTTCATTATGAACCATCTCTGAAAGGTGATGTTTCTTTTGGGAAAGAGATTGGAAGGAAGAAGGGTGTGGGATGGCAGAGATGGTAATGCATTCTCCTGAAGGGAAGGATTTATATCCCTAAGATGAAGAAAGAAGGAAGGAGGGGAGGTCCCAATGTGCCATAAAAATATTATCCTTAAATCTCATTTATTCACTTGTCTCATATCCAGTTGTCAGTCTTGGGTCACAGGCTTGTCATTGGAAGATGTTAAGTAGCTTTTCCTCAAGGATCAGGACTGGGAGGTTACAAACTACATGACTCTTATATGTGAATTGTTTCTTCACTGTCAGTCAGGTGTTGTTTTCCTTTATAGATTTCCTGTATGGTTGCCTTAGGCTCATCAGCATGTTTATGGAATAAAATCCAGGGATGTCTATTGGCAGTACGTATTGTGGTAGGAGTAGAAATATGTTGGCAAATAGAACTAATTCAGAAGTATTTGGAACTATTCTGTGTGGTTTGGACCTGAGAGGTTTTTCTTTCAGTGGTTTTGGTGAGACTTTAGGGCTAGAATAGGTAGTTCTGAATTTTTTTTTTTGAAAGCCTTTGTTTAATAGTACTCTTAAAAAAATCTGCTAAGGATATTTCCTGTTTTATTATTTAAACTACAACATAATACGATTATTATTCTTTTTCCAGCCTCTAAATGGACCCTTCCTGTGCCATGCAGTGTGTATATATACATACAGACATATTCGTGTGTGTATGAGGATATACAAATATTATTCTGTGGGCTGCCAACAGAATTATAATTTAAGGAGACGGCGGGCAGAGAGCAGAATTGTTTAAAGTGGTGAAAAGATTTGTCCTTAATTACATGGTGGGGGAGTGGAAGAGCTGGGAATGGTGCCTGGCTCTCAATACAATCTACATTCGCTGACCCATGCTCTTTATTTCTTTTTTATTATTATTCCTTATCATTGTATTTTCATTCTCTGAAGAATGTTTGACTTAACTTCTTGAGCATTGTTAGTAAGCTCAAGAAAGCAAGCAAGCAAGCTAAAACATAATAACAACAATAGAGCAGCAAGCCTAATGATAGAGTTCAAGAGGTTAGGTTAAACAGACTATTGTTCCTTGCTTTTTGCTTTTAGTTTTGGTTTGGGTTTTTTTCTTTGTTCTGTTTTTTGGTTGGTGGGAGTTTTTTTGCTTTTGTTTTATATATATAATTGTGTAGGGAGTATACCACTGGTTATTCAGGTGTAATATGCTGACACTGTCAATACTAATGATTTTTCAGCCACAATGCATGATATGTCCTTCTAGTTTTAAAAGTTATCAGTGATAAGTTAAACTGTTTGTCCCAGTTGTGAAGTGTACAGCATGTCAGACCTCTGGCTGATAATAGAGGACCTTCGAAAAAGTACCCTGAGAACAAGGGTGACAGCAGATCTGAACAAAGCAATGAAGACAGGACAGAGTTTTGACTATACCATTTGTGTAGGTTTAGAGGAGACAAAATAAAGTCCAGAATCTTCTGGCAGTTAGCACTATAAAGTATTTAGCATTGATCTAACTCATTCATTTTAATTTGAACAGAATTCCTTTGAGGCTAAGAAACATCTCTGTGTATCAATAGAGCTGTTATAAACTGGTATTGAGTACTCCAGGACCTTAGACATGTGTGTGTATGTTCTGACCTTACCCATGATCTGACTATGCTAATTTGATTGCTTCCATCTCCATCTTTGGGTTAGTATTTAACAGTGTGACCTGCAAGTGTCACATTGCTGCAAGTAAACACCAAAACAGGCCAACGATTCTCCACGTTTCAGCCTTCTCCATTTGCTAAACTGTTTCCATGCCAAAAAGCTGCATTTCTCATTTGGAATTACATCCAAACACCTGTTCTTCATATTTGAGTGCTTAGAACAAACGGAAGATAATTCTTCCATGGAAGAAATTGTGATTTGATGTTTATGGTAATAGTATGGGTGGACTGAAAGAATATAAATATATAAGTTAGGATGTAAAATTTTTTAATTACAAGGGAGTATGCATGTATCTCTCTGTCCCTCTGGGCTTTATGTGAAATGTTTGGGGTTTTTTTTTTAGTATTTACAACATGTTTTTAAAAATAAACATTTTTTCTGGTCAGGATCTGCAACTGCTGGAAGTGTACACCTTCTACGTAATCACCGTGGCAATGTCTACGCAAAGTCCTGAATAGTATCGCCATAAGTGGTGGCTAAGAACCTGACCGGTTTGCTTTATGCACTACGTCACTGAAATGGTAGAGGTGTTATTTACGCCACCTCTGACGTGTGATGGTTAAAGCTGAAGTACTTGCAAGCGGTTGATTTTAGCAAGCCCTACTGGTGTGCTGAGACTATAAGACTACAACAGAAATGGTCGCAAGCCTGTAAAATTACAGTTTAAATAGTAGCCACTACTAGGGGGAGAGTTACATGAGCTATATTTCTGGCTTATTTTTTTGGGAAGCTAAAGGGACATAACCATCCTGTTACACAACCGATTCAGATAAAGAGTGTGGTACTTCTATATTGAAAAAAGTGGTAGGACTTTACTAAACCCTTCAGAACTCACACTTGAACACTAGTTTGTGACATTATTCACGATTGTTGTTGCTCCTATACTTTTTGGTGTCTTCTAAGAGCTAACAACATTGTTTAAAAGTCATAACTATGTCCAAAAGCATCACAAAAAGTTATGCTGAGGAACAAATATACATGGTCTTGTCTAATATGAAAAGCAGATTTCGAATCTATATCATGTTAAAGTAGGGAACTAATAAAGCCATGCACAGCGGCAGACATGGTGTCTGTTACTAGCTAAGCAGAATTATTGCTTCCTATGTTTGATAGTGCTCTTCAGTTTGCATACAAACCCAACATTTTGCACTTGTCGCCGACTGACCTTGTGTATGTCCACCAAAATGTATTCTTCTGATGGACAACAGATGCTGTTTGCTATTACTGTCCAAATGGAGATCCCAGGGAAGGCACTCTGCTTGGCTCTTTCTGCATGCTGTCCTTTTGTTCTAGTCACTTGTGTGCAATGGCACTGAGTTAAAAAAACTAGCTGCTTCTTTTGGGTAAATGCTTGCAGAAATCTTGAGTACATTAAGAACTGTATAAATGAGCATTGCTAACCTGCAGCCTCCACTCCATGCAAATGTGGCTAATTATATAGTCCTGGCTTTATTCAAGCAGTATTATTCTTGACATCACAACTGTAATATGCCACACTTGCTTCTTTCTCTAGAGTTTTACCACAACTTGGTCCCAAATTTCCTGTCACCTCTGTATTTAACCTTCCTTCTTAAGTGTATGAAAACTAAAAATGGAATGACAGCCTTAAAGTTCTAAACTAATCTTGAAGTGTAAACAGAGGGAAATTATTCTTAATGAGCCCCAGATGGAATAGCATATTATAAGCCACTGACCCTTCTGAATACACACTGTGACGCTGAACAAAGTGTCTGGAGCTCAGTTATGATCTATTTTTGTGATAAAAGGTCACAAAATACACAAACTGAGGAGGTGGCAAAATATACTTTGGTGCACAGGAGACTTTAGCACATGCTGCAAAGCTCTAAGATAGCTTTGTAGGCTGTTAGGTAATGCATTTTTCTGTTTTTCTCTGCCAGAGCACACTAATGTCATTCCCTCCAGAAAGGCGAGCAGTTACAATAATGCCTGAAAGGTAAAAGGCTAAGTAGGATATTTTTTCTTTTCTTCAGAACATGCATTAAAATATGGCCAGTCTGTCAAATAACCTATCAGGGTGCTCTGGGGAAGAATCAGGATAAAACGCAGGCACTAATGTTTTTGGCTTGGTATAGTTAAGGCTGAACAGAGATTAGTATTTGGTCTAAAAAGGAAGGAAAACGTGGTGGAGCCAGTGATTAATTACACCTTAAGTTATTTGAAAATTCACTCCACACCCATGTCTAATGACATTTTTTGTTAGTGTGTTACTAAATATCATTTAGAATTTACCACCTCCCTTCCATTGGACTCCCCATCATCTTTGTTTAACTGAATTTCTCTGTGCCAATACATTTGGATGAAAGCAATCTTCTGGAGTTTCCTCTAACCTGTTAATTTCCCAAACAATGAAGTAAATGTTACAGGCTTCAGTTCTGAAGGCAAAATGATATCAAGACATGGTTTGGATGGGAGCCAAAAAATGAAGTGAGAGATCTGCAGAAAGAGAGACCTAAGAATGCAGAGAAGCTATTAATAGCTATTTAATATGGAGTTAGCTTGTGGTTAGTCTGCTTGCATACCTCGGGTAACTATCCTGAAGGAAATTAAACTAAGGAGTGTTTTCAATTAATGGTAACTTTCCCTTGAAATAAGTAATTTCAATGACAAGTTGTTCATTACAAGAGAAAAATACAATGCACATTTAATACAAAACTTGGTTTTGGAGAAAGACTGACGGATAGATAATTCTCAGGAAATTTCTTTAGTTCCTAATTTTTTCATCTTTCTATTGGATAATATCTGCAATTTCTCATTTAGTTTTAGCTTCCAGCAGCTTAGTAGCCATTCCCCACTACCAGCACACTTTGAACAGTATTTGTTGGTGAGTAAGAGAGTCTAATGCCTGGCAGAACAGTATTTGTTTCTGAGGCAGGAGAACTTCCTTTAAAACAGGCTGTCTTTTGTGTTCACTTCCATGCAATCAACCCCTCTGCATTTGTTATTTCTCTAAGTCCAAAATTTAGCTTAAGACTTTAAGGAAATGCAGTTGGGCAGCTGTTGTCCTATGTATTTAAAACAAAACAAAACAAGTACTTCGATTTTTTTAATCAACATCTCGGCTTTGTTGCTAAATGACTTTGTTTAATTTTAGGTGTTGTAATACACACCATTTGATCTGCTTTTTATGCAACTCTAGCGTAATATTAATACTGAAATGTTTTTCTTTTTTAATGAATGTTCTCAAATGTGCAGTATGAAATGGGTTAGTTTAAAAATAGCAATGAAGCAAACTCTTTCCAAACTCCTGTAAGAAACAGTTTAGCAGGGAATCAGAAGGTAATTCCTTTGTGATTCATTCTTTCCATTCACCAATTTTAGGCTCCCTTGATGAATTCAAGCAGTTTGACTTAGTCTGTCCAACAATTACCCTGATGTTGCTGTCTGGTTTGCAAGTTATAGCCCCATTTTCCTTGATGCCTCTGATCAAGAGGAAGGGCTCAGCTTTCCCAAACCTGAAGATTTTTTTTAATGTGTGATTAGATTTGCTTCCCTTGCCTTGTTTGTCATCACTTTTTGTTATCAACGTACATATTCTTGAAATAGGAAACATTCAGTGTTTGATTTCCCATTTTCGGTCGTTAGACTGCTCTGCGTAGGCTAAATCTCCACTGGTTTTGCTTACAAGGATCTACCACCTCTAGCAGAGTGCCTGTCAGCTGGCAGAGGACAGGGGAAGCATACATGTCAAAGGGGATTGAGAGAAGGCGGAATGAAGGGTCAAGAGATGGATAGGCAGTTGGGACAGATTGATTCCATGTCGGAATCCGTCTCCTGTGTTAGGTTTAGCAGTAAAAGGCAGCTCATATTGTGTGTATGTCTGTACAGACTAATGGTAAGTTCTGCCCAAGTGACCAGAAAACCAGACCTCCCAGCCTGGAGTTCTGCCGTAGTTACCGTTGGTTGTCCCAGAGCTACCACATGATCTCTCACCAGGTGACTTACAGCGTTGCCCAGAGGGCCAATCTCTCATGAAAAGTCCTCCAAAAATCGCTGAGTTGTGTCTTCATCCCTACTGATGCTCCTCACGTTACTAGTGGTGAAGCTGCAAAAACTGTAGCCAGAATTGCTTGTCATAGTGGTAAATGGCTTGCACCTCCTTGCCAAATGCGTACGTTGAGGACAATGTAGTTGGAGTACGGTTTCATACCTGGTGAGAGCAATGAGAAGGTGACGAGAGAAGCATGGACCATTAGTTTGGTCCCTGAACAAGGAGTTACTTTAATTCACTTTAGGTTCTACTTGGCAACTCATTATGTATACAAAACCCTCATCCATCCAGCCAACCCTCATCACAGCAGGTGATACCTGCCCAAAATACTGGGGGAACACACGTCCTTCACCTGTTCAGCAGTAACACGTTAAAGTGAACAAAACCAGTTTATGTGGTAGCCTATTGCCGAAATGCGGACTGTTAATTGATGTTTTTAGCTATGGATATTGATTTTCCAAAAAATACATTAAAATATCTCTTCAGTGGTTAAACAGCTTTTTCTTTGAAAGTTGTGTTTGACACAGATTCCTGGTGTTTAAAATGCCATCTGGATCCAATAACACGTCTCAACTGGGGAGAAACTCTTGTATTGCAACAAACGTGTATGCTTGAGAGCCGTCGGAAGTCCCATCCCTGCAGGATCTATAACACAGCCAACATCTTTCCTCCCCTGACAGACGCATGGCAGTGCTGCTCCTCTGTAATGCGAGAGGCCACTGCTGAGCAATACAAAGCACCTGTTCCTTCCAGGGCCGAGTGTGCCTTCCACTGGTGAACCTAAAGCCAAAGAGCACTCCAGAACCAAACAGCGTTTTGAGAGATCCTGTTGCTTTTGCAGTAACTCACTTTATTAATACGCAGATTAACAGTTATCTTGAATGATGTACATGCTTGTCCAACAGAAGATTAACTGCAGATATGTGATATAATCATATATCTGAATTAAAATATGACTCCTGCAGTAAGCTGATACGTGCTACAAAATTTGTGCCCTGCCTGACACAGTCTGATGTGTGACTGGAAAAGAGGAAAAGGTTTACACTTTGCTGCTGACTCTCAATATTTCCATTGAAGAAAAAGATAGGGCTACAAGATAAACGGGAAGAATTTGAGTTTGTGTTTTTCTTACATTCTTCATGACTGTGGTTGCTGTCTGCTACTCCAGCTTCCCCAGATTTCTTTTGTGGCTTTCAAAGTAGGTTCATGTTAAGCATAAATTGTATTAAGTTCTCTAGAAGTTTTCTTTTGCATTGTAGCTGTTGAACTCGAAGTCAGACGAGTATCTACAAAGACAAACAATAACTACAGATAAGCTGCCCTGAACCAGCAGTCGAATCAGAGTCCATTTTCTCCAGAATCTGGGACTGTGGCCCAATTCAGTGTCTTAAATCCATCTATCATATAGTGAAGTCTGGCGCTGGAATGTACAGATCTTGATTTGGTTCCGATTTCTCCCGAGATACATATATTCAATTGAGTGATTTGGATCTCTTTTCCAGGGTTCAGATCCATTTTTTGTCTCGTTTCTCTTCCCCTCCCCACACTCCCCCATCTCCTCAGTCTGGTGGGTATGAGAAACAGTCACTGAACTGTATTGCCTGTGTGACTAGAAGGCCAGAAGAAATCACAGAGGGATTTTGTGTCCTGCACTTTAATTAAAGAATCCTATTTTCTTAATTATGGAAGAAACCCAGAAGCTGTGGTAATGGGGAAAAAAAAAATCTATTTTTTTAAACTTGTGCTCTTGTTATTTTTCAGTGTTGAAATAGAATAGCTAAAGTTGAGGTTTCTGACTCTTTCATGTATGTGGTATTGCTTACAGAAAGAAATGTATTTCATCTTCCCCTTTTTTTACTTTTCCTTCACAACTTTGTCATGTTATCTTTCAGCTTTTGATTTATGCTACACTTAAATAATTTTTTGGGCCCACCTGGCTTTACATATCGGAGATTTTTAGTCTGATAAAATAATTTTACATGCCTAGTTACAAACACCGGGTTGGAGGAAAGACAAATCTGTATATATCTGTGTACACAGAAAAATTAAATGTTCTAGGCAGCTTTCAAAACGTTGCACCAGTGCAAGATGTAAATAGATGCTATTTGTTTACCTTCAGTATAGGGCTGTATCTTTAAAGGTGGTTTTGTCCTTTCGGATGCTATGACGTAATTAAGTACTAAGTGCCGTAAGATTGCCCTTCTCACACTGTATCTCTGGCATGAAGGTTTTCTGATCTTTAGGTGGAAAACATTGCATATGGTAATGAAATCTGTAGTATTTCCTAGAGCCTGATAGATCCACAATTCTAGGAGAGTAGTTTTTTTGCAGTGTTTCAGCTGTATTGCTTTCAATCCCATTAGGAAGAACGTACCATGGAAACAAGTTGCCTTGGTTCTTATGATAGGGCCTGATTCACCTTTTCCCAAGTAGAGGCCAGTATAGTTATTTCTATGGCAACCACAGAAAGAACGATAATTCTGGTAAAATGAAAAACCACTCTTCTGAAGTCCCTGATCCCTTTCAGTAACTACTTGGTTACTTGGCACTTCAGGCTTCATGAGCTGCTCAGCAGCTGGGTTCCTCTCTTTAGGGACTAACCTGTACCAAGCTTTATACCCCTGTCAAAATGCAAGGATGTTTATTTTTCCTCCTCTGCCCTTGTGGTCAGTTGTACTTCATTTTTATATAGCACTCCTTGGTTTTTATTACCTTTATCTTTTCCACAGATGTGTTTAATGACCCATTAGATAACTTCATGGAGACATACAGAAAGAATATGAATAAAATGATATTAAACCTTATTCATTTGGCAGAAAAATAAAATGTGTCTTCAGATGTAACTATGAATACTGGTCACTTCTGGTTTGAAAGAGCTGCTTCTCTTCCAGGGTGTTCCAGAAGATCTGTTGTTTTTTTATAACCATCTCCAAAAGGGCGGAAAAGTTGTTCGAGTAAACCATTGCCTCCTGCTGTACCGTTACCATCCACGGGCTGCAACTCATTCCATCCTAGAGTAAGTTACGTTTTTTGGTAGAACTTAAAAATGAGCTTTATCTTGGGTGATTGGCAGCAAACATGCTTAATCTCTTCAAGATACCATGCAGCAGAATAATTACCCAGTTGTTTTTAATTGTTTGTTTTGGAGTTGGTTGGTTTGTTTGTTTTAAAGGCTAAAAAGCAGTCATAACATGTTGGCAGTATTCTCTTTTGATGACAGAAGGTTAGATTTCTGTTCATAGTTGCTATAAGATGCTTTTGAGTAACACGCTCTAATGTTGGAATTGAAGTTATTGAAATCTGTGGTGGTGGTAGTGTTGCCCATCCACTCTCGCTGTACCTGCGTTAAGGATTTAGTGAGGTGGGGACAGGGTGGGCACATCTGACACTGGACAAATATTCTAAGAAATGGTTGCATCTGTGCAGCTGTTCTTGAAATAATTTCACAATAGGTATTGTAAGAGCAATGAAGTATTTGGGGGACTGCATTACAGCAGTACTGTTTTCTCAGCTTCCAGTTACCATCTGGAGAAATTCTTCCCAGAGAGGGTGGGGAGGCACTGGGACAGGTTGCCCAGAGAAGCTGTGGATGCCCCATCCCTGGAAGTGTCCAAGGCCAGGCTGGATGAGGCTTGGAGCAACCTGGTCTAGTGGAAGGTGTCCCTGCCCATGGCAGGGGGTTGGAACTGGATGATCTTTAAGGTCCCTTCCAACCCAAACCATTCTAGGATTCTGTGATCCTGTCAGCTGAGACTCTAACTGATCATGTGAGATCTCATTATCTTTCTGAATAACATCTCTGGTTATTTGAAGCACCTGAGTTTTTTACTCTCACAGCAGATATATATACGATATGCTTCATATGATTGTGTCTCCTCTGCTGAACACGGCAAAAGCCGGCAGAGACAAGTACCTTCGGTATTTTGAACGTGATTGCAAGGATGTGTTTGAAATATATCCTAGTGGTGACATTTTATTGGGGATTTTAATTAAGATTTTTAATATGTGATGTTTTGATTCTCCTGTTCTTTTGCCATGTGAACCATAGTGTAAAAAATACTTTATTAATTTTAAAGCTTAGTTGCAAAATGAACTGTCTCAATTTTTAAAAAGTAAACAGAAACTTGTAATACCAATAATACCTTCTTTTAAAAAAATAACAAAAACAAACCTTTCATCTGATAATGTGCTGCAGTTACATATATCATTTTCATATTTGAAAAGGTCTAAATGCTCTAAATCAGATAATGAGTCTTGAAATATACCTGAGGGTGTTTAGGAGTAATTATCTCGGGTGCTTCCTTGTGAGCTGTTGCCTGCTGCTTTTGCAGTGCTGGTGTACCCATAAGGAACAGGTTAACTTGTCGATGGCTGATTCCTCTACACACTCCCTTTACCCATCGAAGGCGTTCTTCCTCATCGGAAGGCCTGCAAGCTGAGCCAAAGTCCGTCCTTTCTCTTACGCACTGACATTAATGAAAAATTATGAGAGCTTTATTGTCCTTGAGGATTCTCGCTAGAGTCACGGTGGTAATTAAATAAACTCTTTTCTTGCTGATGGATATGAATACGCTTTCCAGTCAGTCCTATTTGTATGGTTTTGCAGAACTGACTAGTAAAACTAAACATTTCTGTGTGCCTTTTAGTTGTGTATCACTAGATTATTGTATTACTGAAAATGCTATAGTATACTACCACAAATACCACACTCCTGGTTAACATCACTGCAGATCTTTATAAATACATGTGTGTATAAAATCATTTCACTCTGAAACAGTCATTCCAAGCAAAAAGAAGATATTATTTGTATTTTGCAAACAAATACGAGGTTAATTGTTGTCCTTTCTATTGGTGTTTAAATATAAGGGGTTTTTTCTCTTTTAGTGTGTGATCATTTTGGCAGTTAGTTACAAACTTCTCAGCCATGCATCATGGGATGCTAAAACTCTTGGAAGCCGCTTGCTTGTGTCTGTGGGAAAACATCTTATTCTTGGAAATGAGTTTGTTTTGAATTTACTGCAAGCTGTTGCTTATTCAGATCTACAAGGTTGTGTGGCACAAGCACCCTGAATTACAACATACTGTGAGAATGTGGAAATACTGTAAGCTGTTTCAGATGTGCCGTTTGCATGTCCAAATTGGCGCCTTTCTTGTCTCATTCTAAGAAGTCAGGCTAGCCATGCTTCCTGTTGGCTTTTGCTGGTACTACTGTTAATGGTGTTTTGCGTGAACTTTCAGATAGGAGGTTGCGTAATATCTCTTTTTATTGGCTTGTTCCCCTGTTTGTTGCCTAAGTTGTGAAGGGGTGGCCAGCATTTGTTTCAGAAGGTGTGTATTGAGCAAGCAGAGCTTAATGGACTCATCACAGCTTTAAGTGTGTAATTTAAATTGGGCCTTTCCTAATTTGCCTTTTGGTCACCCCACCTTATTTGATGCATGTTCTACCTTTTCTACGAGTCTCTTTTTATGGTGTGTGTTGTTGGAACAGTTTTCTGTGGCACTTTGCCTTTTGCCATTGGCCTGTGACATCTCTGAATTTTCAGAGTTAGCCTAGACCTGGATTTGGAAGTAACAACTCACCGACCAGATTAATATCTTATCTGAGATCCAAATGATGCTTGTAGGTAGGTTGGGGGCTTTTTAACAGTTTATGCTGTTTCACTCTTAAAAAGTAGTTTGGAGCTGGCTAATAGGACTTGTTTATACAAACGTGTGTAATTCAATCTTTTCAGCAAAGACAACAATTGCTCGTAGCCTGTTATGGGCTGATTTCAGTTTATACAAGAGTCTTTCATTGCTGTTCAGGGGAAAAATGCCTGATTTTTGCATTTTCAGACTTCCTAAAGTGTATATAAACCTACTTGGCAAGCAACAGTTAGTTCTTTTTATTTTGTATGTATAATTGCAAACACTAATGATTTTTAGGTCATTTCCTATGATTAGTATCCTTCTGGAACAAATATCTAGAGGTGAAAGTATCTGTGAAGCAGGAAAGAAAGTCTTACTTGCATTCTCCCTTACCCTGGAGGCATCAGACTGTTATTAAATGTTTTGGGTGTGTGACAGAATCTGAATGAAGTACAGTCTATATTTAGATTTCATTAGGTGTGTACAGAAATATAAACGTTCCCGCTGTAATTTCATCTAAAGTCTGTGATGGGTACCTGCTAAATGTGGGTGAGCAAGACAAGTTTTGAGAAACTTGTCTTCAGCCAGGAATTTACAACACACAATCCCACACATCTCTCAGATCTAGATCATTTTATCTCGCATTACAGCTTGTACCCTAGGGCTGCGTGTACTTTGTGCTCCATAGCTGTGTGCACTGATTTGGTACAATATCAGAGCTGGCTTCATAGCGAGAAGTACTACAGTAAGAAAGTCTGGTGTATAATAAAAACATTGTAAAATTCGTCGATCTTTATCTTGCCAAAGGGGACAAAAAGGAACTGTGTATAAAACAATGTACCTCACTGCGAGATAAGAGTCAGCTTGGAAGAAGATGAGCAATAAAACTGTACTTGTCTTTGGGTAGTGCTGCTCACAAAGACAGGCCGTTGGGGCAGGTAGCTGATCTTTGTAGCATTTTGCAAACTTTTGGTCAAGAGAAATTTAATATATGCAGAAAATAAGGTTTGTACCTTCCCTCTGTTATTCAGGCGACTCCCTTTTATGCAGAAAATGTGAAGTGTACTAGCAAGGCTTACAGTAATTTCATATGCTGTGTATTCAGAAGGAGATATATTGTAAGATCTTGCTCTGCAGAAATAACCAAAATTACGTAATGTATTGAAACCATCTGGGTTCAGGCACTGGAAGCTTCCAGTGTCATCTGAGCGAAGGAGGTCTGAAACACACATTTGGTTGTTTAGAGGTACTCTGAGGCATGGCCCTCGCATCGCTGATGAGCGCAGCAATGCCTGCTTCATTTCCTGCAAAAACATATGCATACAAAAATAGGCAGGAGAGAGACATATTCCTGTAACGTATTCCTGTACAACTGAAATAAAGACGAGGTCAACTGCATTTTTATCTTCTATGCTTGCATTTGGCACTTTAATTAAACATGGAAATTAATGACCTCATTAGATTCTTGAAAAGTAAATGGCATTGATAGTCTCTGTCTTTCTTAATAAGCCTTTCATGAAAAATAGGCCACAATGCAAACCATGCCTCTGTTAATGACCCACGACCTGAAGATGAACTCAGACATTAATAGAACCTATTAACAGTGTAAATGTAATAACTCAGTGGGATGATATAGTCCAGCAATTAATAAGTTCAGATGAAGTTCAGCAGAACAACAGTGGCCAAAAAAAATCAGTTTATTCACCAGCATGGTCAAGGTTCAAATGGGTTTAATTTCTGAATTGCCTGTGGATTGTAAGGACCTTGAATTCTGCGTGCAAAATTAGCTGTAAAGAATCTGTTCTCTCAGCTCTCACCGTGATTAAAAAGTTCTCTGTTCTTCCATCTCTGGATTATCTATCAGGTGAGATACACCTACCATCTAAAACTCGTATTATCCTGCCATGGATAAAAAACCACAGGAAGAGCCCTCTTGAACCACGTGAACAGCTCCTCTCCTGTCTGGTGTTCCCCAAGTAGCGTGTGGGGCTGCCCTACATAGATTTGTAATATTAGTGTGGATGGTAATCAGTGCCTAAAATTCCAGTACTGCTTAGGGTATTGGCCTTGTATTTGTGCATTTCTCAAGTACTTGCACATCTGTCTTTGCTCTGTTGATTCACTTATGTAGCCTCACTGGGGGAAGGAGGGGAAAGGCAGTCAAATAATATGGCGAGGTTTAACTGAGCTCAGACATTAAATCATATAGCTTTTATTGTCACATTATCTTTCATTTCAAAATAGGAATAGAGCAGATGTTTCTTGACTCCTGTATTCAGGCAGTAGGTCACCACACATTTTAACAGAGCTCCATTGTTATGTTACTTGGGTGGATGGTATGGTAATAACTGCTTGGGACTGAAGAACACACTTCGTAGTCATTCTTACCCGCTGCATGAATACCCTCATTTCACTCCTGCAGAATTTTGGCTCCTCTCCTTCCTTCCAGACTATATAGCTGATGAGTATTGAGGGGCCATGGCAAATGAGATCTTAGGAAAATTGTGTAAGCCTCAAGAATGATTTTCCAAGTAGAAAAATGTATACTACTTACATTTCTTTTGTGAGGAAATGAAGATGAAAGAAATGGGAAAAATAATGTACTTCAAGAATTTGGGTCAAGGGGTGGGAGTATTAGGATGTGGGAACTACCTTGCTCAGTGAGAAGAATTTGTATCCCACCTTCTGGCTGAGGAAAGTCTTGTTAGCTGAACACAGACTAGAAAATGGCACTAAGGGCTACTGGGAAACTGCGTACTTTAATCCTTTCTGAGATGGGCAGGGAAAGCAGCCTTGATTTGGGATGATGCAACGTAACCATACCTCCCAGATTTTGCTGGTGGCTATGAATATGTAATAATGCAAAATCTGAAAATAGCTGTGAGAATTGTCTCTTGAGTAGCGGTTTGTATGACTTGTAGATCGTTTCAGGCATTTTCTTTAATCATCCTTTGCACGTTGCTACAGTTCCCGTCTGTTGCACCTGCACTGGCTCTGGAAGGATGGGAAAATGGCATTCCCTGATCCCTCCAGGCAGCAATCCCAGTTACCTGTTCTGCAAAACAGAAAATTCTGTTCAAAAAATGTGGCAGATTAGGGGAACCAGAAGCCTGAAGGGGATAACTGAAACTCTCTCTTTTGACACTCTCTAAACTACCTTGTGCTTCCACACGTGAGATCCATCGTTGGCGCAGAGCACATTTTCACAACGATTAAGTCTGTGCTTGTCACTGAAAAGCTCAATCACAAATTCTCCCCTTAGTTCTGAATTTTTCTGATGATCTCTTGCTTGTTGGAAGTATTTGAGGGTTAACTCAAGACTGCAAAGTGTTTGATATAACTTAAAATTTTCATTAAGAAGGTCATGCGCAATGTGGGGATGGGATTTTTTTCAGTACTTTTCTGTGAGCATTTTCAGAAGAATGCCTTGAAGTGATGCAAGCAAAAAATCACAAGTGCTCACTATATTGGCTTCATTTTCACAACCCAAACCAGGTATTTAAGAAAGCCATTTATTCGTCTTTGAATGAAGCTGTCTGACAATATCCTTGTATTTGAATAGTGATCCAATTGAACTGGAGTTTAATGAGTTTCATTTCCTTCTATTTCTGAGTGCAGTTCCCTTAAATGCTTTCTGCGCTTGCTTTCCTCAGTCTAACATTCATAGATAAGATTGCGTCATTAAATCTGCTTCAGCCTGAAATCTTTGTGGGTGATGACCACCACCAAGATGTGGTCTCCTTGAATTTTACCTCCATAGGGACTTCAGTGGAGTAGAGGCACCCATCGCTTAGACAGCAAATGCATGCTGCCTGCAAGCACCCCATGCCAAATGTACTGGCACATTTCCATGACTCCTAGAAACATTTTCCAGGTGTCTGGATGTAGATTCCAGTGTTTTTTTCCTGCTTCTAGAAGTTAGCTGATAATTCTTTTTATGCCTTGTAAGGTTGACTGTTTTTTTCTGTAGCTTTAACTGCAAGCTTAAGTGGAAAGAAACTTGTCACTCAAGTCAACGGAATAGATTCTGAAGTACCTCTGGAATGTTACACAGTGTAACCCTTCTGAAGTCACATTTCAAAGTAAAATCAGTTTTAAAACCTTTCCATTTACGTGTAACGCAATAATCTTCCTTTTTAGAAGTTAGCAGAAGCTCTGAAATTTCCAGTAAAGTGATCCTGGAAAAACACTTGACCTTCATATTTATTTCCTTTAACTTTCCATCTGGGAATACAGTATGCTCTAACGAACTTGGAAAAAGGCAAGTGTCAAAAGATGCCA